AACACAGAGGAAGAAAACTGCCCTTGTGACTGAGGCACGCTACCAGCTAGAGGTTTACTGGGATATTTCAAGTCTTGTCTCTCCTCTTTCCCCCTCCTATCGGCTACAACATTGTCCAGATTTCAGAGGGCATTCCAATGACTAGAGTCTTCTCTGATAGCCAAGACTCAAAAGACCTCTATACTACCTAAGGGTCTAAGACCTTGGCAGTATGATCTGTTTAAAAAAGGAGCGAGGAAGGGAAATTCACGTTAACTGTCAGCAGAGAAATCAGATCAGTTCTCTGCACTTGCGATGGCTGGACAAAACTGGAGAGGTTCACATGCTTCCTGAGAGACCCAGATCATCTACCTCAAAATGAAGCATCTGTAGGAGACATTACAGAACGATTATGCCACAGAAAAAGTACCAAGTTATTTGAGTTTGGACAAGCATCCTCTCAAGATCTCTACAGGAACTCAAGGATGCAACAGCTGCTAATCGTGACACGTGAACTCAAATCCACTTGTGTCACCTAGGGTGTGAAGAGGGGCATACGGGCTGAACAGAAAACGTGGACAACCAAGCACTGTCAAGGTTTATAGCTATACTAAGCCAAATCAGTAGAAATTGAGACAAAGATACGCTGGAGATAGGTCAGTAGGCGTTTCATAAAGAAAAATCACAGCTCACATACTTAAGGACAGCAAAGCAAAACTTTATAGTGATTTTTTTGCCTTTTGCTTGGGATTTTTCGTGAACTTACCAGTTACTTATTTTACAGGCTGCTGACCAAACACACAGGTGGATGCACCAGAGAGCAGCTTCTGGCCACCACATACGGAGAACCAGGTACCTGGCTCCTGCACTGTAGAGCAGGGATACTTGAAACAAGATACTCTTTTGTCCAAATGCAGGGTTTGGCTCTCTAGGATCAACCTTTTCATTCTTGCTTTGTAGAGAGGAGGAGAACGCCACCCTGCTCTGGAATCACATCTGGAAATACACAACTGCAGTATTCACTGAATAAACTCCTGGAGAACGTGTTGTGACAAGCAGAGGAAGGCCCTTCTTTGGTATCACACGAGCGAGAACTTGAGTCAATGCTGTAGAAGAGTCTCCCATTCTCCAGTGTAGTAAGAGCACCTAAGAAGACTCTCAAAACCTCTGAACTAGTCTAGCAAGCCTTGTCTAGCAAAACTGGAGCTCTTGGCACTGAGAGACTGAACCAGAATCAGACTGCACCGTCCACTGTCTCAGAGGCTGGTGTGAGGAGCAGAGATAAGACTCCACCACCCACTGTCTCAAGGACTGGTGTGAGGAACTGCTGTCCAGCACTTCGAGGACTGCTGACAGACACGCAAGACCAGCGAAGCTGGATGCACGTGATCCACTAGGAATGTGCAGCAGGTGACATTAACAGAGGTACCTCTCCCTAAGGCATTATAAAAGGGGGAAAAAGGCAATCGCTGTTGGGTCCACCCACCACCGAAGACTATGACTATGGACCCTCAGCATGCTGCTGGATCCCAGTGGGGAGCATTTCTCTCTGCACTCTGAATTCCTGCTTCATTTCTGTCCTTTTTCCAATCTGTCCTAGAGCTTTTTATAATAATAATCTTTTTAATAATAATTACGTTTTGTTATATCCTGACTCTGGTACTTGACCTTGTCTGCATCCTTCATTTCACTCTGGGGATCACAAACACAGCATTTTCAACACTGGGTTTTATCTAGTCAGACCTTGGCAGGAGAGAAGCAAGGGTTTCAAGCATCCATGATGTCATTTTAATCTGACAACTCTGATCATAGTTTTACCCCTAAAGATACTCGTAACAGAAGCCATAAGAGACTGCTGAAAGAAATCTGGTTTGCTCTATCTCCAAAGTTATAGCCTTCACTATATGTGTAATCGAAGCAATTCAGCTGCACACATAAGCAAGGCTTAGGCATTTTCAACCAGATTTAAACTTTGCTTGTGTTTGTTTACTCTAACCACGTAAAGGATTTGATTCAATGTATCTCAAAGTGGAAAACTGGTTTGATCTGGAATGCTTTCCTCTGTAATATTTTAGGCTTTTGAAAAGGAAAACATTCTTCTGGTTTCAGAAATGATAGAGAAATACAAAGTTATCCAATTCACCCATGGGGCGGGGGGGAGGTATGCTGCATTACCCAGAGCTGGGCCTGAACACCAGGCTTTAGAGCATGTTTTATTCAAGGACAGAAAAAAATGGTAACATCAGTGCAAGCAGAAAAAGCAGTAACCTGTTCCCACAAAGACTACCTTTCTCCAATAAACACTAGGGAAAAAAGGCAGTTCATTCCGTCAGGGCATAAATTACCACAGTCTCCAGAAAATGCCAGCTGCTTGAAGTGTTAATCTACTATAATACATCACTGTGTTTACAGCAAAATCATTTAATGGGTTTTGAACACATATGGAAGGCCTTTCGTTCTGTTCCAGCCCCTTTCTGAGTGGTCATCTGAGAGAAACCTGATCTGAACTGACACGTCTGCAGTCACTGGAATTGCATTTATACGCCAGGAACTTCTAAAGAGAAATAAACTGGTGAGGTGTGAATCTGATTTTTGCTAAATCTTCTCAAAAATGGCTTTGGGGAATTTCTGTCAACATACAATTTGCCTACCAACCACTCCTGAAAGGTATTCAAGGTACCCTTCCTTTACACTGAAGGACAAATGTTATGTGGGAATCAAGTTAGGAATGCTTTCTATTTCAGTATATTATACTCTTACCAGATGAAGTGGTACCCAGCTGACTCGAAATCATCTAAATCCTCTCTTTTAATTTAAGGTGCTTGCTCTGGGGTTTTTAGTTTTTCAAAGTTAAACACTACGGCATCATAATTTGGACGTACAGATCGTTCATCAGCCATTTTTAACAATATAGGCTTGAAGAGCTTATTTCAAGACTGAGAAATCCTCACAGAATCCCATCATTTCCAAACGTATCTGTTTGATTCTATTCATTTTAAACACGGTTTAGGTTTGTTTTCATGAATGTAAAGGCTTGATGGTGAAAGGATTAACTTCCAGGCTGTCAGCTTACATAAAGACACAGTAACAGCTGAATCATCCTTTTCTTATCCTTGGAGGTCAGCAGGCTATGAAAACATTTAGATAACAATCAGGCAGAACTAGAATAATTCAGCTATTTTTATCCTACAAGCTCTTTTTTCTTTTTTCCCACCAGGCAATAGAAATAAATGCAGATTAATCCAACTGAACTGCCAAAGAAGTGCTCCATATACCATAACAGATCCATAACAGATCTTTGCTTTGTGGGCAGCCTGGTCCTTCCTTCTGAACCTTAATAACTGAGCGACTGCTACTCCTACTCAAGTTAGCAAGACGACTGCATCACTCACTGCACTTTGGGGACTACTGAGGTGGGAGAAAAACACCCAGCAAAATCCTGTCTTCGTGATGTAAGTGAAAGATCTTCTACTCATTTAACTGAAGCAAGGATTTAGCTCAAAGTTACGCTCCAGAAGAACTTTTAATAAATATGGAATTTAATTTTAGAAGGAGAAAAAAAGCAGTAAAATTTCCACGGGAAAACTATTTACTTCTTGCTTCCTACGTAGTAGTCACTATTCCATAATTAGGCTCTGCGCTGAGTTACAATTTAGGGGGGAAAGACTTCCTGCCTAGCAGACAAGCCTAGCTCATCCTGAAAACCCAGCACATCAGTACTTCCTGCCTACCTGATACACACACTGAGACAAGTCTTTTTGTCTTAATCTCTTGGGAGCTTTCCTCTTGGGCATATGAATGTCTATAGAAATAGCTGCTTCCCTATGAGAGGCACACTTGTTCTAAAACAAGGCTGCATCCCTTACATACAAGACTGGAAAAGACTTCCTCGGGCTTATTTCTGGTTATTAAAAGTTAAGAGTAACCATGCAGGTGAGCTACTAAACATTCCATTAGAAAATGGAATTTCTAATGTTTCCACTAGAAAACAATCTGCCACTTGCTAGAAGTCAAATTGTTCTTGTTTTATTCAGTTTAATAAGCACGCTTTGTAGAAATAATGCTTGTTTTATGTGAAACAAAACAAGTGCAGGAACAAAAAAGCAGCCCGTGACAAATGGAAAACACACCACTTAACGTTACAAATGTACCCATTTGGTGCATTCAGAACTCCTGAGAATTACTGCAAGTGATATTCCTGTCACATCATCTCTTCCTACTGAGGAGTAATACAGAGATTCTTGACAATTGTATCCATCCATGTGCAGATAATCCTGAGGAAACTTTGGTTTGTGAGCACTCACTGCAGAAGGCACATTTCACCGAGAAACACCCAGCTTATTTTAAAATGCACTAAGTAAATGTCACCTCAAACGGAAGACACCGCTGCAATCACTGCCATTAAATAACATTCAACACTAAGTACATATTGCACTTGAAGTTCTCTTTAAAAGAATCAAGCTCCCATGCAGCAAAAGACTGAGGCGCAGGGCGTTGTGCTCAATTATATATAGATAAAATACAACCTAAATACCAGTGATTTTAAAGGCATGCCAAGACTGGAGAGATTCGTCTCTGTCCTGCCACAGAACAGGCGAGATGGTTTGATGGAAGCCACTAGTTTAACATAAGACACAAACACGCTCCCTATGCAGAGCCTGTCTCAAAAGGGACAGAGGGAGTACGTTTTTCCCTTGATCTGTTACCATGTGCTGATTCTACAAAATGGGTTGGTCCCCAGCATCTTACCATCAGGCCTATATTGAAGAGCTAAAGTGCACTGTACAGTTAAATGAACAAACACTGCCTTAACTGTGTTATGCACAATCTGGAAACATAACATCCTTTCAGCAGCTATTCAAGAGGCATTTCTTCATGACATTTAGTCGTATTTGTCTACTTTCTAGCACCTACTATTTTACCTTCTCTATGTCTGTACTGGTTAGGTTAGTTCAGAAAGTGAGCAGAAGTAATGATGCAAGGTAAGAATGGTTTTGACTGATCAAAGATCATAGATTTACCTTCTGCAAGCATGTCTGGCACATCTGCTTGATAGCGAGGCCCCACTCGGATTTCTCCCTTGTCTGCTAAAAGCGTTTTCAGTGATGGATCATACACCAGTGAATAAAAAAAGGTATCCTAAAAAAGAAGAGACATTTGCAACACCATAACGGTTTTAAATCAACCATCCACGCACACTTGAAGAGAGCACAGGTTTGGTACAGTCCTCCTTACTCGAAATAAGGAGGAGGTTTCACGAGTACTTTTAAATGGCTCGCTGAAGCTGCTTCAGAACAGATCAGTAATGAGAAGATTCATACACAAAAAAGTATAAAGGGGGTTGAAAAGAATTAATGCTAACTGCTTTCTGAATTGAACGCGTTTCCTCCCCAAAATCTCTACCGTATTGACTCTGCATTACAACTCATTCTGAAAAGAGCATGAAACACTGCCAGTGGCTGAAAAGGACTTACACCAAAACACCTGCTACAGCCACCCGAAGGGTAAGTAAGTCCTGTCTGCAGAAGATTATTACTGATTATCAGCGGGTTTGGTGGAGAAACACAAAACATGCTCATTTCAGGTAGAGCCCACTGCATTAAAACACTCTGAAGACAGATGGGTGTGTTTTGAGGGTATTTTGCAATGCGACTATCAGTTCCTTTCACAAGAAACCGAAGGTGAGAAGATAGTGCCATGCAGTAATTCAGAGACACCTGAATTAAACTCCTTGGCTAAGCTGCCCTCAGGAGCCTCTCCTGCTCTCTCTGCCCATTCACTACAGAATATTCTTCTTTTTAGAATCCATCTGGGGGAGCGGGAGGAGGGATGGAAAAAGAAAGAGATAAAGAAACAAAGATAAAACAAGAGGGGAAAAAGGCACCATGTGAATTCCCCCTTCGGTGTCTACAGGAAAACGTCTGGATCGTTTGCTTTTGTAGTATATGTTAGGAATTACTTGGAATTAATGATTTTTGAAATACAACCATATTAAGACCAAACCCATCATGTGAGAGTGGCAAAAAAAAACTTGGCTCAATGACTTTTTCCAAATCAGTGTTTTCTCCCATGTCATCTTTCTAACTTAGCGTTCAAGAAAAGATTTTCAAACTCTTATTTGCTCATTTATTACTAACACAGTCACAAAAAACCCCACCACATAAACCCATCCCAGTATTTACCCGAACAGAAGTCACGCCTTACCTCCTTCTCCAGGTATGACAGCACAGATTCAGTCTCATTCAGAAGTGCAACACTGCATTTTCCCCTACACAAATGCAAGGAAGGACTGTTAACTTTTCACAAAGTTCCATTTTTTATGAGGTCAGGAAGTTATTTCCAAGAAAATACTTAAAACTATTATGTTAATTCTTTCATAGACTATAAAATGAACATTGCGATACTTCTGAGGTACCAAAATGAACATCAGAGCCACCAAATGAATGAACCCATGCCCTCAAACACACAGGAATTCTGTCAAACTGGGAAACAGCTTCAGAAAGAGAGAAGCAATAAAGGGACAAGAGGGTACTGTGGCAAACAATAAATACATACACAGTTACTAATGCTTGGCTGAATGAAGCATCACCTCCGAGTGACTCACCCCCAGTAAGTTCAGTGCCTAATGTGACAACAACCCAAAGTAGGAGCTATGCAAGGTTTTGCCAATGGCCTGGTAAAACACTGTTCTTTTCTGAACTGAACCATGGGATTCTACCAATTTCTCCTATGGCCACATTAAAATGCTAACTACCACATTTCTATGCAGGCTGCCAGTCAAAACCTTCCTGTTCTTCAGCAAGGGTATGGATCTCCCCTGGTATTACACCACTAGATAATAACATAATGGGGCTTGGACCACACTGCCCCCGCCCCTTCTTCATCCCTTTCTCCCCCAATGCTCCTTTGGCCTCAAACTCCTCGGCCTCCAACTTCTCTGCAAAAATAACCGCAGAATTATTGTTAATAAATGGGATTCTAAAGAAAACCACACTGATGCAGCCCTTGTGCTGAGCTGCATCAGCAGGACCATGAGCAGCAGGCAGGAGGAGGTGATCCTGCCCCTCTACTCTGCTCTGGTGAGACCCCATTTGCAGCACTGCGTGCAGTGCTGGTGTCCTCAGCATAAGAAGGACATGGAGCAAGTCCAGAGGAGGCCGTGAGGATGCTCAGGGGCTGCAGCACCTCCTGCGTGAAGACGAAGGCTGAGAACACTGGGGCTGTTCAGCCTGGAGAAGAGAAGCTGCGTGGAGACCTCGGAGCAGCTTCCAGTGTCTGAAGGGGGCTGCAAGGATGCTGGAGAGGGGCTCTTCATCAGGGACTGCAGCGACGGGACAAGGGGTGATGGGTTCAGACTGAAACAGGGGAAGCTCTCACAAAAAATAACCAAACTAAGGTAAAAAGTAGAAGGAATTACCCAGCTTTTTTGAGATGAGATATGAAACCTTCCTCTTATCTGGTTCTCTGAATTATTCTGTATTTTTGCACCAAGCAGCATTCTCAACTGCTACCAACACGGTGAACTGCTAGCAAACAGCACCCGAAGGTCTCACTGATGTTAAGATTATTTATACACCTGGGTTTGACCTTTTTCTCAAGTGAAGTATTCAGAAAACCTCTTTTTACTTCCTGCAAAATTAGGCAGAATTTCCTTCGGACGAATGTTGAGGGAAAGCCTCGGACACCTCAGCAATAGACAAATAACTGCAGACAAAAGGAGGTTGGCTTCTGTGTCTTCACTTAAAACTCAATTCTGACGGGACTAAAGCGTCCCTTCAGAATCCTTTCTGCTCTTAGATGTACTTTGTATTTAACCTGGGCACAAATAAGAAGTTGTTATTCCACTGTGCTGACAACAATGCCAACAAAACTTGCTATTAAATCAGGCTGTGATAAAAACTGATTTCAAGGTCTTGCAATAAAAGGAGACAACAACTTGCCTATATATATGCTCAAGGTGTTTCCTGCCTCTATCATATCAAGCACTCAGTATTCACTTGCTTCCCCCATCCTAGGAACCAGAGCTACAAGTTCTATCTTTGCTCTTTTCTTTAAAGCATTAACCATGTGAAATATAGCCTGGGTAAGCAACATAAAGCAAAGCACCAAATTCTCCAGAAGATACATTTCATGCGTATCTGGGGGAAAACAAACACAACCCAAACCAAGACAAAAAAACCCAAATCAAACAAGCAAACAAACAGTGCAACCCCCCCCAGACATCTCGCTTGCAATGTCCGGGTCATCACCCTCCAATATGTATGGAAAGTGGAGTTTCGCTTTTTACCAAGATATCAAAACCTGATGCAAATGCTTACCTTTGAAAACTAGCAAGATGAACCAAAATCAACAGCAAGTGCTTTGAGCAGTTAAAGTCCTTGTTCGTTTTGGCACAGCCCCTACTTTTAAGCCACTGGAAAGCTCTACAATTCCTGCTCTGCTATCCTTGCAGGCTACTCATCCGTGTTCTCACCAGATGAGTAAGGCGGCCCACAAGATACAAATCTGATTTTAACAGGGTCTCGTGGGACAGGAGGTATGCAAACAAAAGGAACAAACCACTTAGTGCCTGCTCACCACGAGAAACCACAGGAGTGGAAAAAGCAACCCCATGGGTAAGGTACCATGCCAGGGAAGTTTCCTATGGGAACATAGCTGCGCCGTGGGTGAGACTGATGCGGTACAAGAACTCTCAGAACTCGTTGCTCTCGGTTCCCACCTCGCCAGTGAAACTTGGTATGAATTGGTCATTTAGATACAGGTTGAAGAAAGAAAATAATACATTCAGGCACGGCCCCACGCAGGCTTTGAAATCCTACTGTGGCCAGTTACTGACGGCCCTCCTTGGTGGGCAGTTCTGTACGCATACCAATTGTCACTCACTGATCTTCATCAAGAAAGCTGGCCTCTGAGTAGAGATTTGGAAAGCATAAGGGTGAGTCACTAGCTAGAGTCTGAGAACAAAGCAACAGGAGAGAGCATTAGGAAACACCATGCTTGCGAGAAAAACCTGGTTTGATTTTAACATGTGCTCTTAGTTCAGTGACAACCAGAGGTTAAACTATACCGAAGGTGTGTTAGGAAGAAGGGTTGAAAGGCTTTGTGCAGGAGAACTCAGGACTAACCTTTCACATATTCCACACAAATGGAAAAAAGAGGGGAACAAGGTGCAGAGTCTGAGCAGAGGAGGAAAGAGCTACCTTAAATACCAAAGGTTTTTCCTGAACTGTCTTAAATGGGAATGTGTTCTGAAGATTTGCAATCAAACCACCACTCTGAGCCAAGTCTTGATCCCTTGCAAGCAGTCTAAATTGAAGCAACGATCGCCAAACTGCAGACTAAGGACTGTGGAGTCCAAAAAAGCTTCTGCCAATCAGATGACATTGATTCCCCAGCTATGAGAAGCAATACTAAGAGTATTTGTGTATCTTACTTTTAAGCACAGTTTAAGGGACACAGAGTCAACAGAATGATTTGGGCTGGAAGGGACCTTAAGATCACCCAGTTCCAACCCCTGCCACGGGCAGGGACACCTCACACTAGACCGTGTCACCCAAGGCCTTGAACGCTGCCAGGGATGGAGCATTCACCACTTCTCTGGGCACCCTGTGCCAGCGCCTCAGCACCCTCACAGGGATGAGCTTCTGCCTTAAATCTAACCTGAACTTGCCTTGCTCAAGTGAATGATGCTGACAGACACGCACCAAAGCCTTTACAGCAATTTCAAGTTTTCCCTGTTGCAATGGTATTTACAACTGGAGAGCAAACTATTGCACAACACTGAAACAAAGAAAAAGAAAGCATCAACATAAATCTCCAATAGACCCCTAACTGGAGCGTAACATTTGAGATATTCAGAAATGTCAGAAGAAAGAAGTGCATTGTACTGATTTGTACTTAACTGGCTTGAGTTTGGCTCTGCTCATTTAAGGAGATGTTTCAAACATGAGGGGGGGAAAAAACAACCAACATTTGATAGGTGAATACTACTGCGATCTGTGCCTCCAACAAAATGATGCCAGTCTCCTGAACAGCGTAAAATGGTGGTTTTGTGACCAAAAGAGAGACCAATAAACTTGATATTACTAATGAACACAGCCTTGATCAAACAGAATTAGAAACAGAATGCACAGTAAATTGATTTATGTACATCTAAATGAACCAGTAATTGCCTGGCATCTACACATACGCACAGATCGCACAGGCAGCCCAGGCTTTTTATGCTACGTGTGGCTTTCAGACGTAAAAATCTGAGTTTTAGTCTTAATTAAAGCTGGAGTGCTGATTTTGAGAACTCCAAACGAGTGAGAATTCAATGCAGCCTCTTGGAGCTGTCAAGCACAACTGACATGGATGCTCAAGTAAACTGCACATTCTTGAGGTTCCAGCTTTCATGCAGTTCTCCCCATTGATTCCAAGCCATAATCTGAACAGGACAAAACATTCCCAACGTGAGGCAAATTTACAAAAGGCAGAATTAACAGAGACTTTGCCATTCAGCAACAATTTACACCGTTTCTATGGTTAAACTGCCACGCTGTGAGCAGGAGAGCCAAAACATTCAACAGCCCTGCCAGAAGATCCTCTACCTTGATAGCTGGAGAAACGTTAAGAGGTAAATGTAGGGATCTGTGAACGCACACACATCTCAAACAAGCTTCAACACATTACCACTGAAAACCGCATTTACACCCGTACTGTTCCAGTCTCCATTACTCACTGAATCTTGTATTCTGTGGCTGAGAAGGGTCTGCAAGAAAACACTGAGTAGAAAGAGCAAAGCACCGAGTGCCACAGACAGAGGTGAGCGTTTTCTTGGTCTGGGAACAGTAAAACTACATGTTTTGATACTCAAAATAAGCACAACCACATATGTACTTTCTATAAACTGCTACAGGAAACTCAACTCATCGGTACTGTTACTTTAGGGAATAATTGGTTCCAAAAAAGTAAAAGGTTGCTAACTTGTGACACAGCAGCAGCAGCAATGCACATACTGAACTAAACCACAGCAGTCTGCTTAGCAACGATTTCTCACGGCATCTTATCATCATTTAGGTTGCAGAAGACCTTTAAGACCATCGAGTCGCGCGGCTCAGAAGCAATGCACATCGCTCCATGTTCTGCACCATCTGAAAGACTCCTGCTTTGTAATGATGTCACTAGAGGGAACTCTGTACTGATTTTCAGGTACCTGAATGACAAGTTTCCACTGATAAATACACTTTTTCTTACGCTGTTACTAGTGTCGGCTATTGACCATATCTGAGAAAAGGATTCTGGCCTGAAGTGAATTTTCACCTTTATTCACATCAGAATTAGCTGAATGCTATTGGGAGAGTCCCTGTGCTCTGAATCAATGCAGCTCATTAAAGAAGAATACCTTCCTTAACAATTCAAATCTGCAGGTAAGCACACGCCTATGCAAAGCAGATTCACTCCTTATCTAGTCTGATTTATACCAGGCTGTTAAGGCTCAACGTGAGCTTTTATAAGAGTAGCTAAAAGTTGTGTCTCACAGAGAGGCCAGGCTGGATGGGCCTTGGATGACACGGTCTAGTGGAAGGCGTCCCGTGGCATGGGGTTGTGACTTACATAATCATAAGGTCCTTTCCAACCCAAACCATTCTGTGACACGTACACAGGCACACATGAGGTATATAATGCACACACCCCCCCCTGTATCCCAGAAACTTCTGGTTTGCCAAGAATGCCAAAACTAGAAATCCTGAGGCCATACCACCACATGCTACGGTGCCATGCTTTAAAAGTCACCCTTCTTCTGTCAAATGGCCTGCCCTGTCTGTTTTGAGCTTCACACCTTTTGGTGTGTTTTAAATGAAGAAATCCCACATTGACCAAAAAAGAAGTATTTCTCTGCACTTTAGTTGCTTGAAGTAGCAGTATTAGTGATGGCTGATGAGATCAGGGAGAAGGAAGCACAGCATAAAGTATACCAACCCAACCCTACACAACTGCATCAACCCAACCCCACAAAACTGCACCAACCCAACCCCACACCACTGCATCAAGCACCTAAATCACCAACATGACAGCAAACAAACAGAACTGTGTCTGAAATACTCCTTCCTTTTCACAAATAGCCCCCACTCTTGGAAACTTGTCTCCATTCTCAAGCTGTCTTGACTTCAGGCAAACCATCGGTGTACAAGCCTCTTCTTACTTTGCATGAGTTCTTTTTGTAGTATAGGGCAGTCCAAAAGATGCACACCCGATTGTACTGACATCTGAGAACGCTTGGCTTACATCTGCTTCCCAAACACTTAAAATAACACCACTACCACAAAAAACCCACAACCCCAAGATTGAAACACAGTTATTAGCAAACAAGAACTAAGCAAAGATAATGAAATGGCAAGATAAGCCCTGAAGGATAAATTCTTCTACTCAATGCCTATGAAGTACTACATTTAAAAGCAATCACACATGATCTCAGAAGTTAATGCGAGCTTTTCCAGCAATCTAAAACCCATTTATCACCTATTGGCTCTTGAGACCTCACGAATGAAAAGGAGATTTAAAGCCCAAGTCAGATAACCCAGTGCATCTCTCCAGACTGGAACTGCTTACAGGAGCCACCCACAGGAGCTCTGGGTGCAGACAGAGAGTGATAGTAACACCACAGAGTGTTCAGTGAGCCTGGCTGGCAGCACAACTGTTTCAAGAACATCTGGGGACTACAGTGCCTGGCAAACTGCATCTGTAACACGCAGGGATTAGGAAGGAAAGATAATTCACTGGAAGAGTGCTACCAACCTTACACATTTGAGCAGGTAAGGAGGGAACAGTTTCACTTGTAACCTCACAAGCAGGCACTAAGGTAACAAAGCCTTGTCTTTGAGACCTAAACTTGCAGTGTTCCACATGGCACTACTCCAGAACGGTGCCGCTCTGAACTAGGCAGTTACACCTTCTTACGTGTATTTCAATGCAGGAGAGCACTGTGTCCACAAGGCACCACTGCCCTGTTTAACTACAACTGCACTGCCTACACCTAATGAGAAGGGGAAATAAGATGAAGTCTAAAAAATCCATATAGTTATAACAAAGAAACCCTTATATCTCAAGAGACTTTCATATAATATATGGCAATATAAAAGGTATGAGAATAAGGAATTAAACTGTATTTCTGTCATTCAAAAGCTAACAAATTACATCAGAATCATTCAAAACTCAACATTACAGACCAAAGAGCTTCAGAATTAGGCTTGGACATCAAAGAAACCTGTCCTGCTAAAAGAACTGCAAGGCACCTCAACTATAAAGTAGTGGCACCAGGTGTAGAAATGAGACACGGCTGTATTTGCAGTTGGGAGTGAGAATAAAAGTACTCTTGGTCGGAGGGGTTTTCAGGGAGGGCTGGAACTTTCTCTGCCTTTCAGCTGAAGAAGAAAGTGAGAAGGCTAAAGTTTGGAAGAAAGATGAAACAAAAGCAGTGAAAGTACACTAGTAAAAACCAAATAAAAACAGACCGCAGCAGGTAAGTTTCGTTCCCTTGAATTACAAGCAGAAAGGCAACCAAACTCAGCTTCTTTCCTCGGCTGAAGTTGTAGAGGTCCAAGCCCTGTAGCTGCCAAAAGCAATCACAGACAGTTCAGCCTCCTTCATTCTCTTAAGAGCACTTTGAGCTTTCTTCTTGTCCGTTCAAAGGGGCTGAGGTTTTGTACTCTTACTCCTGAGAGAGCCAACCCCCACTGCCCAGTTTATACCACTGCACCATTTAGTTTCTCCTGTAAACCCAGCTGTTCCCATGCAGGGGCTAAAACTGCATGTGGTAAGAGCAAAGACTCACAGAATGGAACTACTCAGACTTCTACTGCTTGAGTATCTTCCAGCTTTTTATATCGAGATGACTGACTTAGCAGATGAGTGACAGCAGTGAGTGTCATCTACCCTGGGTTTATCATAGCTTGCAGTGTGTGCCAGGGTCCTTCAAACAGATTGGCAACATATGGACTAGGTAAGCAGACTATAAGGTGGGAAAAACTAGGCTGAAAAAGATGTAGAGAGGGGTACAAAGACCAGCTGACAGCTGGTTACAGGCGGCATCTCCCAGGTGCCCGACACCTTAAGATCTTCATTAACACCTTCAGCAAGTCTGCAGATGATACTAAATGGGATTTGTTCACTCTTCAGGGATGACAACTGAAGGGAGAAATCCTACTGCTGTCTTCAATTACCTAATGAAAAGATATATAACACAGGTCCAGGCTCCTCTTCAGAGGAGCACAATGATGGGACAAGAGGCAGAAGTAACACGTTAGGGTAACACATGACAGCACAGCCCTACAGCATTCAGGTGTTCCGAAAAGGAGATGCAAGTCATCACTCTGCATCCGCACGCTGTGCGGTGCTGCGCGTACTATGGATTCACACGGTTTTCTGGTGTCTCTGTGATGTACTGGAGAACCACTATTGTGTTTGCTCTCAGAGCTGTGAGGTGAGGAGACATTTACAATACTTTTCCTATGTAATCTTCTCTCCGAGAAGAGAATACCTTCTTTCGATATCTAAATGTCAAAGGAAGTAAAAGGAACTCTGCAGGAGGATTATTATCTCCAGCTATAGCTCGAGAAGCAGAGATTTGACAGTTAAATGACTTTCTCAAAGTCAGAGAAAAACTAGCTGAATCAAGCACAGGAAACTAATGCAACAACTCCCAGTTTTCTGTTGGCGCTGAGAAAGAAAAGGCACGCATTTGCCAACAAGAGAGGAAATACATATGCACATACAAAGTGGTTTTCCTATTGGAGCATACACGCTTTTTTTTTCTAGCTGCTAGTTATTTATGGTCTGGAATGGCTGAGAGGAGCTGGATGTAATGAGAAAATGAAAACTCCTTTGAAATGCAATGTGAGAGCCCCTTTTACACTTTGCTACACTCCTCCCTGTCGCTATGCTCTTGCTTTTCCATCATCACCTCCCACCCCACCACAGTAAGAATTTCCTTGACTGTTAAATAGAGGATGACATAAGTGCTTACATCATTTACAGAGAGAAAATTAATAAACCCTTTCTGAGCTTTAGCAAGCCCCCCTTCCTACATCAGCATTAGAGCAACTTCAAACAATACCTGAAATGCTTTTGCAATGTTCAGCCAAACTCAATCACGACCTCCTTCACATGCCCTGGAGTTGGGATAATTAAATGTTTAAATGCATGCAGCCCGAAACTGCAGCACTGACCACTGCGCCTCTGCCTCCCTTCCAAAGCCATCTGTGGCTTCCCTGCGCAGACAATCAAAGATCCTCTGGCCAGACAAAGTAATTAAACAACTCTTCCAAAGCAGAGCAGGCTGACCTTTTATACCGCATTACCAACTGATGCTGAGATTCTTGTTGCCTCCAAGGCTCAGACATGAAGCAACAGAAGGAAAAACAAAGGTACTTCCAAAGCAACCCGTGGGTCAACCTGGCACAACTCCACTGTGATCAATCACATCCTTTTGCAACACAGAGGCTGAAATGAGCTACAGAACACACGGAGTCAATGAGATTGACTTCAACTTACCTGATGTGTGTTGCCGGAAGGGACTCGTATTGGCGAGAAAGGAAGAGCTCTCTGTGCTTCAGCTGATGTTTCTGTTTATCAGTCAAATCAACCTCAACTGTAGTTTCAGACTCTTCTTCAACTTCTTCTGCAGAGAAGCAGAGCGTAGGTCGAAATTAACTCTGTGCATAACACCCCTGCAGCCATCTCACTTGACATCCCCCACCCCTTAGCAACCTCCCCGACTACTGCAAAGCAAAGATGAGTTTAGCAAGGCTACAGTTTATGTAACTTGGCAGAATATTAAGTAGTTTGGATTCCATACCTTCTACTTAAAACTCTTAAAAATACCCTGCTCCTCTCCTACTGTACTACGCATCGATGTCTTTCACACAGCAGGAAGAACAATCCTAACAGTATTAGTCACTCTTCTTCCACCTTCTTTCACCTTGTTTCTTCCTCTGGGGGTGCCTCTTGCTCGCCGAACAGTCCTGGCTTAGACTTGCTCATGCTGGTACTGGTATTACTAAAACTCTTACAGGAGTCCTGGGGAAAAGCATGCTTCCTATGAACAGAAATGACCACACACAACTGCAGTCCAAGGCTGCCAAGTCACAATCTAAGACAACTACTGCCTTCCATACGCTAGGCACTGACAACAAATAGTGTATTTCCGTGTTTAAAAAAGACCTACAATTATTTCTGTTTAAAGCAAGACAGCACTATTCCATCTAGAAGATAGCATCTACAGCAGCAAATCGTAAATGGTATCATTTTTGAAGGGTATTTTCAATGGAAAAACTTCTTTTACGGTTCTTATCTGGAATTCCCGAGTATTACCTCACTTATAACAAAATCAAGGAATATTATTCCCTTTACAGATTTAAAACAACAGTAAACTGGGAACGTAAAGGAAGAAATAAAAGCAGTCTGCCCCACTCACCCTCCTTGTTTTGGCATGTTCTGTGGGGAGACACAATAAGAAACGCCAAAATGAAAACAAGACTCCCCCAGCTCTCATCTGACACCCCACCGGCCTTGCACGTACAGGTTCAAGTCAGGCCACAGCTCAGTGCAGAGTTATCCTGCCATCTAGAATACTCACAACAAATAAACCTTAAAAAAAGATAAATCTCTGCAAAGTTTTGTAATAAGGGAACTAAAGAAAAAGATAGAAATTGATGTAAAAAGCTTCATGTTCACGGTGGTTTCATGGCAGCTGGTAAGGGGCTGGGTTTGCATTTGTGCTGCAAACAGCGCTGGTAATTCAGGGATGTTTTAGCTACTGCTGAGAAGCTTACACGGAGTCAAGGCCTCTTCTGCTCCTCTCACCTGCACGAGGAGTTGGGAGGGGACCCAGGACAGTGACCCCAAGGGATGTCCCACACTCTATGGGGTCATGCTCAGCATACAAAGCTGGGGGAAGCAGGAAGGCGGGCCGTTCGGAGTGATGACGTTTGCCTTTCCAGGGAAGTTACTCGTGCTGGATCCCTGCTTCCCTGGGGATGGCAGAATACCTGCCTGTGATGATGGGAAGTGAGGAACGAATTCCTTGTGCTGCTTCGCTTTTGTGTGTGTTACAATACCAAGCCAAGCCAGTGATTGCTCTATTGTTTGGGGATTTCTTAAATCAATGCACGCCTTGTATTATTCTACAGGTCCAAAGTTCTCAGCTTGCTATTTACTTCATCTCTCCTTCCTGAAAGCTATCAAAGCAAGGTATTCTTCTGTTATAACCATCTGAGAAAGCTGACAAAAAGCTGTCTGCTAGAAAGCCATTCAGGCATCCAAACACAGGTGTCTGGGAGCATTTCAGACTGACATACCCAAAACATATGACTGCACATATGGCACAGAACACAGAATATACATCAGTTTAAAGAGGCTGCAGGGAGACAGAGATGGTATCACAGAGTTTCAAATGGCTTTAGACACCTGTGCTCAAGTACCTTTAAAGCTCCCTCAGAGAAAGGATTTAAAGCCCCCCCCCCCCCCCAGTTTTTAATCATATTTATTGTACTCATCTCACATAAGCCAACAATCCAACAGCCCAGGAGCCTGAAGCTGAAATTAAACATCTCCAACACAGATCTCCCAAGACACTCCAAACCTAAGCATGAAACAGTGAAACTTTTCTGTCATATGCTTAGGAATAACACAGCACAGATTTCACTCCTGACCTGACAAGCTCAGGAGTAAGCAGAACCAACCATGGCCAGACACAGGACACTTCCACTCTTCACACAGTATCACCAGGTTAAGTACACAGCTTTCTTCTTCAGCACTACAATATAAACCCAATGCTAACAGCAGGATCAGCATTTAGCAAAACCACTATAATTTGCCTCAGCAGTAACACAAACCTGTAGCAGGGAAGGAAACGGTGCACACCGTAAAGAAATGAGAACGCTGCATCTGCTTGACAGCAAGTAGATACAAAACCGATCTGCTCACAGCAATACAAAGAATTCCGCACCTGAACAAACCTTTGGAGAGCTGCTTTTGAACCAGGTTTTTGCAGAGATCAGGCCTTAACACCTATCAGAAGAAAAGTGGCAATGAACTTCCAGTACTTTTGGAGATCTCTTCACCTTCTTGACTCAGATTTGCATCATGTGCGATGCAGCCCGAAGCTAAGCACGCTGTCAGCACTCAGGATGAAAAACAAAGCAACAGCTCGGAGCCAGCAGGTATCTTGATGCAGCAAAATGGTGATGCCAGACCCAGGCCTCACTGCTCCAAGGCTGGAGCAAAAACAGAGTTCAGCTTAAAACTGTTCCGCTGCAGAAGCCTTAGGTATGACTGTGTATTTATTTACATTATATACACTTACAAGGTATATTTCATTATGTAAAGAAAAACATCCTGGAGCGCAAACGCAGGCATCTCCCAGTGCACTTGTAAAGCTTCATTTCTTACACACGGGTTTTTTATCAGCAATGGCAAATACTTACTCTGACCCTGAAAAGCAGAGGGATCCTGGTGATACCCTCAGTGGCAGTGCGGCAGACTTACCCTTTCCCCCTGGTGCAAGTAAGAGTTGACTGACTCGACCGAGCCATGGACACTGGGAAGAAATGGGAATCCTCACTCATTTTACATATGCATCAATCCCCCCCCCCCCCCCATTTAATTTGTGGATTCATTGTGAGAAAATGCATTAGGGAGCATGAGGAGACAACTGTCCGCGTCACCTCAACTTTGGACATGGTGGCTTTGTTTCTAGTTAAGTAAGGTGATGACTGAAGCTTGCCACTAGGAAGTACTGCTTGTTTTTACAACCGAAACCAAAATAAACTGAGGGCAAGCCTCTAGAAACAGAATGCTCCCATTTAGGAGAAAATGGCTTAAAAATAACCTCGAAAAAACACAACCACCAAATCCTGAAAGATACTGAAAGGTTTTAGTGTGACTCAAGCCAGTCTATACTTAACCATCAGCTAGCAAACACGTTAAATTCCTCTAATATATTACTCTTCCTTAACTAAGTCAAAATTACCCACCATCTGCTCCCCTTGTCTACTGCAACAGAAAGCAAGGGAAATTAGTTTAAATACTGAAGCCTATCTTCAGGGAGGAGCAGTAAACCTTCAGTTTTAAGAGGAAGAATAAAGCTCTCCCTCTCTTGCCACCATGCTGCTAATATTGTTTTCACCTAGGGGTTGGCTGGCTCTCAGAGCCGTGGAAAAAGGTCTCTGGTACCAACTCCCCCCCCACAGCTGCCTCACCTGTGAGGTCAGCCCAGGTTATTCAACATTTGATTCAGCCAGGTCTTGAAAACCTCCAAGGAAAGAGGCCACGTAACCTCTCCAGCAACCCAAGCACAGTGAAAAGTCTTTTCCTTGTATCTCAATCGCTCCTGTTTCAATTCAGTCACTGCAGAGTCCAGCTCCATCTTCTCCGCAGCTTCCCCATAGGCACTGGGAGCTCGCTCCTTCTCAAATCCCACACCACAGCCTCTCCATCTCCACCCGTGATGGTGGCTTCTGCCGAACGTGCTCCAATTTATCAGCAACTTTCCTGTACTGGGGACCTAAAACTGGATGCGGTACCTGGATGTGATGTAAGAAGTGCTGAATAATCGGGCAGGATCATCACGTGCCTGGATCTACTGGCTGTGTGCCTGGTAATCCAGTTCAGGATGCTGCTGGCTAACTTCACTGCCAAGGAGCTGCTGTTTGCCAGCACCCCAAGGGCCTTTCCCCCGCTGTCCTCAGCCTGCATCCCTGGCAGGGGCTCTTCCTTCCCAGGTGCAGGACTTGGCACTTTTCCCCACTGAAATATCTTCAGGCTCTCAACAGACCATTCCTCTTGCTTTCTAGGAACCCTCAAGCATCCTCCCACTGTGGTGACATCTACAAACACGGTGAGAGCACTCCACGTTGCCCGCTCCCATCACTAATAAAGACATGGGGCTCCACACAGGGTATGGACCCTTAACCACAACACCCGCACTCAGACCCTGCAACTAGGTTTTTATTCGCCTAGTTGTCCCTTAATCCACATCAGTTCTGCCTACCAAAAAAGCTAGTGCTGGCACAAAAGCAAGAAGCGGAAATAAGAGGGTTAAACCGGGAAGGTGTTATGGGAAACCCCGAGATTACTCTTTTAACAGCAGCACAAACCAGCGCTGAAGGAGATAAGCAGAGGAATCAACAACTGAGGTGCATTAACTTCCTACCTCTTCAACTTAATTGCTTCCCATTTTGAAAGCGTATCTCAGCTTAAATGCATCCGGTTTATGCAAGCTGAGGCGGAGAGATCTAAATCACTTACACTCTTCCTGAAGTTACAGCAGTTTAACCAAGGCTGCTAAAATATCTTTAAAATTACCTTAGATCGGGGTAGGTTTCAGTTCAAATAATGCCACTAAGCCTTACTTCAGAAGAGTTTCTAAGCTTTTCCCTTCCCTGGATCCCTTCTGCTCCTATGCTCTGCCCAAAAGCTAGACACATCACAGACATCACCAAAGCCGCAGACAAAAAGCTGCGAAGGCTGAACAGCAGCAAGTTTACTGCACGCACCAAAGGAAACAAGTCTCCTTAAAGCTTATCTGGTCGTGGCAAAAAGGAAATCAAGTGTGCATTTGGCAGTTCGATGCTACAACACTAAGAGTTATAAACAGAGATTTTGGGGGAGGGGGAGTAA